CTTCCTTAAGGTCACTAAACATCAGTGGCAGACTGAGAGTGGCTATGGATGGTGAACATTTTCAACTTCTTGTATGTAGCTGATGAAATCACAAAGTTGACAGAACTGTCTTAACAATCATCTCATCCAATATTCTTTCATAGATGAAGAGATAGAGATCCAAAGGTAGGATGTGGCTCGCCCAAGGACCACAGAGCAAGTGAATGAAATTGGGTTAGAGTACAGATTTCCCAGATCACCCTGCTTTCTTTCACTATATGGCACCACCTTCAATTCTCAGTAAGAACAGAGGAATGACTAGTCACCCACAGTTAAGATCGGAGCTCCATTGTCGTCCAAGATGCTGCACTCTGAGGTTTCTGTACACGTTGATCCCTTCTTCTCCCCATTTGTAATCAAGTTCTGTCCTCAGCCTTCTGATTTTATTTAAGCATTTGGGAGCTTGTTCATTCCTAGCCTTAACTGGACATTGCCAGTGCTTGCCTTTCATCAGCAATACAGGACTAGATGTAGAAAGAGCGCTTGCAGGAATGATCAGGCTGGAGTAATGGCAGCAGAAGTCACTGACTTCCACATCAAAGTGGCTTCAGGAGCCCAGTGCATCAGTGCTAGTGTGCCTGGGAAATTCTGTGACAGCCCGAGGTATAGACATCAGTCTTTGGGAGACAGGTATGGATTGTTTGAGAAGTAGCATCGTGATATCTAGGGTAGTACCAGGGAAGCAGCATCCAGCCTGGCAGGGTCAGTGGGCCTTGTGGGTGTGGCAGTGCTGGGAAGATGGAGAAGCTGTGCTTAGTGGAGACAGTGACCTGGTAGATGAGGTGACACCTAGAGGAGATTGTCGCAGTGCTTGGTGGGAAATGAAAAAACAAGCAAACAAACAAACAAAAAAACCCCAGAAGAAATAGTTGGTGTACTTCAAGGAAGGCACAGTGCTGTCACTGGAGTAAAAGTAGACCAAGGCAACGGGGAAAGGTTAATGCCTGTGGATGGTAACCATGTTGGCTTGTGAGCATGTTGAGTGACCTGCTTCTAGACAAACCTGGAGGGTTGCTCCCCTACCCTGGGGGTAAGCTTCTTATTTAACAGAGATGAGGAACGAAGGTTCCAGTGGGGTCTTTCGAATTGCAACTCTGGGAAGGCAGAATGAAGGAAGTCTGTACATTATAACAAGCTAATTACTTCTGTCCCTGCCATGCTGTATTAATATTAGCCAGTAACCTCCTGCAGGGGTTTCTGTAGCACCTATTTTGAACAATGGCTGAAGACCTAAGTGGGAGTCATAATGAGAAAGATGGAACAGGAGCTATTGGTCCATTTACCAAAGCACACACACAAAACAAAAGTGAAGCTTGAAAACGGCTAACCTGCTCTAAGAGCAAGGATCTGAGGCCAGAAACAGATGGATTAAACATGTGAAGTCAGCAATTCATCAATCAGGTTGCACCTCCTCAACGCATGAGTGGAGGATCACAAAGGGGAACCGTAGAAGTGGAAGTGATGGGAATAGATTCTTGCTTTCACTAGAGTTTGAAGCATTGACCAGCCCTGATCGAGCCCACATGATTCTTCCTCCACACAGATGCATGCTCCAGCTTACCCACTGAATTATTGCCATTTTGGATAAGCATGGTTGTGCTTTGATTTATCTGCATTGGGACTTCTGATTCAGGGCTACAGCCATGGCAGACAAAACTTTGTCCTCACCCAAGTTATGATTGGGGTTGTTGCTTGCTTCTGATGCTGTCTTTGATGGCTAAGAGTGCCATACCTAAAGAATAAATTAAAAATCTAGAACCAGACAAATCATTTTTTGGCTAATATTTATTACATGCCTCATGGAAAAGATAAATCAATAGCCAACTCAGAGAATACAGTTCACGTTTAATAGTCTCAATACATTCTTCTGGTTAGTTCACAGCTGCATTCTGCACTAAGAGAAAGTCATCAGGAGGAACAAACCTTAGGTGGGCATAGACGTCTTAGCATAGACGGTAGAAGACATGACCTACCTCTCATGAAATCTCAAAGATTGCACACATTTACGCATTCAACATTTACTGAGAGCCTACTTTGTACATGCCATCTTTATATACACTGCACAAACGCTAAGAATGTTGTGGTGTGTGCTGACATTGCTACGGAAACAAATTGCACAAGGAAAAACAAGGACGATTCATTACTGTGGTAGGAGATAATCTTCTAAACTGGCACCCCAAATTCCCTGCTTCCTGATGTTTATGTTCATGTGTAATCCTCTCCTTAAAAGTGAGTGAGACAGGGACTGGAGAAATGGCTCTGTGGGAAAGAGCACTGGCTGCTTGTGCAGAGGACCCAGGTTCGAGTCCCAACATTCACATGGCTGTTAACAACTGCCTGGAACTCCAATTCCAGGGATCCAACACCCTCTTCTGACCCCTGCGAGCACTGTATGACATGGGCGCACCTACCCATATGCAGGCAATATACTCATACACATAAAATAAAAACAATAAGATGTTTTTTTAAAAAAGAGTGAGCTAGACATAGTGACTTACTTCTGAGTAGAATATGGTGAGAATAATGGTGCCACTTCCAAGCTTAAGTCTGAAAGGTTATAACTCATTTCCCACACATACTCTCTTTCTGGCTCTTCCCTCACTGCGCTGATTAAGTGAGTTGGCATTTTGTGAGCTGTCCACATGGCATGAAAGAACTGAGGGCAGCCTTTGGACAACAGCCAGCAAGGAACTAAATCTCAACACCCACATGAGTGAACTTGGAAAGATTTCTACCCCTGTTGAGTCTTGAGATGGTTGTAGCACTGACTGACATTTAGACTTTTGGGAGACACCAGAAGCAGACACTTAGGTTTCCTGGACCACAGCATATGATAATAAAGGTTGTTATAAGGCATGACAGGTTTTTTTTTTCCAGCCATAGGTAGTTAATATAATTAGGAAGGAAAATAATGGAAACTGAACAAAAGGAATAGTGCTTGGTGGATGGAAGCCTGCAGTGAAGCCAACACAACTCCACGTGGGGCAGCAGTTTATTTGAGAGCAAACAGACTGCTGGGCTGCCTCTCGGGGAGCAGAGAAACAGCAGCCAGCAGGGGAAGTCAGATATCTTTTATAAGCAGTTAGGTGCTTGGGTAACTTTCCATGATGTAGACTGGGCAGTTTAGCTCAGGATTGCTTGGACTCCCAATAAGCAGAGGGACTTTCCCTGGGCTAGGTTCGAACCCGCCACTTTAGAACGTTGCAAACTGCACCACCATTTTAAGAGCCTGCCAGGAACCTAACACTTGGAAAGGCAAGAAGGTACTGTACCATTAAACCTGCCTATCCCTCCAAACAATTGGCATCTCATTTCGATGAAAACATTCAAAATGCTTTTCAATATTTTATTATTTTTGTTTTATGTGTATGAGCGTATTGCTTGCATGTGTGTAAGTGCACCTGTGTTGTGCAGTGCCTGCAGAGGTCAGAAGAGGGCATTGGATTCCCCTGGAACAGGAGTTATGGTCGGTTGTTAACCACCATGTGGGTGCTGGGAATCGAACCCGGGTCTTCTGCAAGAGCAGCCAGTACTCTTAACCACTGAGCGATCGCTCCAGCACTTATTTAGCTTTTAAAAATATATATTGTTGCTAGCCAGGTGTGGTGGCACATACCTTTAGTCCCAGCACTCAGGAGTCAGAGGCAGGTGGATCTCTGTGAGTTCAAGGCCAGCCTGGTCTACATAGTAAGTTCAGGTCAGCTAGGACTACAGGGAGACCCTGTCTCAAAAAGACAAAAAAAATTTTTTTTTTTTTTTTTTGCTATCTACAATCATCCCATTGTGCAATAGCACACCAGACTTATTTCTATCTAAGTAAGACTTATCATTGACTAACCTGTCCCTGACCCCTCACCCTGCTGCTCTCTCCAGCCCTTGGTCATCATCATTCTGTTCTCCACAATAAACGTTTTTTTAGATTCCACATAGGAGTGAGATTATGTGGCGCCTGTCTTTCCACACCTGGCTTATTTCACTTAACAACGATCTCTCCTTCTATCCATGTTGCAATGATGGAATTTCATCTTTTAGGGCTTAATAGTAGTCTATTTGTATGTGTTAGACATGGGCTAGCTGGAAAAATGGCAACTTGTATTCCAAGATTCCTATGAACAGCACGTTTCCTTTGACACAAGGGTGTAACAGAGTGATATGGACTGTGGTAGGACAAGAGTGTATACCCAGTTTAAGGGGAAAGCTTCGATTATGCATCAAGTGAGTGAATATGGAATCTCTGTCTCCAGATTATCTCCTCATGCAAACACCTTTTCCCCCAAGGGAAATATAAGCACATGGATTTCCTGATTTTTATATTTTGGAAAATAAATAATTATGTTTAATTGTATGCCAACCAAAAAAGATTACTCCATGCTGTGTCCAGTGTAGTAGGTGGTAGAAAATTCAGAAGAGGGATGGTGTGGTATCCCAGAAGACAAGACATTTTTACTTTTAGAAAGCAGGGGACCCAAAGATTTTATTAAGGATAAGGTGCACTTAGCAGGCATTCAGGAACAAAAGGTAGGCTGATCAAAGGACACTTCTCTACAGGAGCTCAGGAAAGTATTTACAACAAAATGTGGTTTGTTTACAGGGTCTAGAGTGATGTTAACAAAATACTATGAACAAGACATCACTTCCTTATCTAATCTAAATATAAGGGGCACTTCACTTCAGAACCTGCATCTGCATACATACCTATATGGCCTATGGGCTAGAAGACTATGGGGCTTTAGGATCCTTGTGAGGGAAGGAAGATAGCAGTCTATAGGGGAAAGACTAAAGCATGAGCGAGCTAGAGACCTAGGACAAGGGAGCTATCCTGAATCTCTGTCTCCCATGCAAACTCTGAAATAGATGGGGACAGAGGACCCGAGTCCCACGTAAAGGATTAATGTGCATGTGCTTGACTGTATTAGTTATTTTCTTCATTGCTGTGGACCAACTGCCCGACAAGAAGCAACTTAAGACAGGAAAACTTTATTTTGGTTCACAATCTGAAGGTACACTTCATCATGGTGGGAAGGTGTAGTGGTGGACTAGCTGGAGCCTGTGGCAGCTGGAAAGCCAGGCTGCTGACTCACATCTCCATGAACCAGGAAGAGAAGAATTACCAGGAAGTGGGACTGGGCTATAAAACCATAAGATTTGACCCCTGACCTAATTCCTCCAGGAAAGCCCACCTCCCAAAACAGCCCAATCATTTGGAGATCAAATGTTCAAAGACTTAAACCTGTAAGAGACATTCCACATTAAACCCACGACACTGGACACTTACCAACTTAAATGAGACCATTTGAAGGAGGACAACCCTTACAAGGTGAGGCATATACTGCTGGATTTACATATGTAACCAAAATTGTCCATTTTACTTTTGCTAAGTACAGATTATGATTTAGACCTTAAATTTAGAATAAGAGGCACAATGCTTCTATGGACATAAAGAACCAGAGGGGTTTCCTAAATGCTTTATTTATTTATTTATTTATTTATTTATTTATTTAATTGAGGCACAAATATTTCTTCTCAGGTTCTTTTTACTGAGAAAATGAGGGTTGGTGATGCATTTGTTAATGGCATTTAAAAATATGCTTTGGCTAATAGAGGTAATAACATACTTTTCAGATATGTTAATAATAAATTAAGGTTATAATAGTTGTTATCTTAGAGAATCTTAGAGAAAATGGATGGATTAGTCTAAGCAAAATATTAGTTTGGAAGAAGATAAGTTAGGGATACCAAAACTAGAAAAAATTATAGCTTTAGACAGCACTCTATGATATGTAACTTTCTAATGAATAATATTCAGTTACAAAATGTCATATCTTCCATAGCACCTGACACATATAGGTTGAACATCTCTAAATCCAAAACTCTGGAAACTGAACCGTTACAAAAACTGAAACTCTGAATGCCAGCACGATGTCTCACCAAGTAGAAAATTCCACACCATGAAACTTTATCTGTGAAGTTATCAAATATATTTTAAGAAATTATCTCTAGGCTGTGTGTGAAAAGTATACATGAGACATAAATCAATTTCATATTTAGACTGGGAGTCCATGTCCAAGACGTATCATTATGTATATGCAAGTATTCCAGACTTCACACACAGTCTGAAATCTGAAACACTGCTGGTGCCAAGCATTTCAGGAAGGGGTCCTCAAACATAGCAGGTATTCGACAACTACTTATTGAATCTTAGTACTTTTAACAGTCATTTCCTCAGGAATAATTTCTGTAGCTCAGGTAAAACCAGAAGTGTATTTTTTTGTGTTTCTTTGAGTCGGGGGGGTGGTGCTGGAAGCTGAACCCAGGGCCTTGTGATACCAGGCAAGTGCTCTACCACTGAGCCAAACCCCGAGCCTTCCCTTCCTTTTTAATTTCTTATAAAAGTGTATTCATCTAAAGAGAACAGCAGCAAGAGTAAAAAGAAAAGAAAGTGTGTACACAATCTAAAGAGTGATTCAAATCATGTTGCTGAGAGAATCCCTGAACCCAGCGTGCATCTCCAGTCTGCCAAGGCCTTTTGCTGTTTTACCTACCTTTCTTCCTTTGACTTCTGCCTGGCTCCAAGGGACATGCCCAGATGGTATAAATGTTTCCCTTTCAGAGCTGCAAGAAGGTTCTGGGTTGTGAGACTGGCCAGGTCTCAGGGACCCTGGCTCTTACCTTGCCTGGTATCAGACAGCCTGGAGGCCTGTTTATGAATATATACTGAGGAGTGTTATAGGGCCTGGTGCTTTGAAAGCTCCTTGTGGTCACTGGACTATTACAGGAAATAGGCTAGGGAGGCTGTGGGAAGCTTTGGAGGTAGGAAGGTAGGGTCCAGAAAGATTACTGTCAGAAGAGGCCTCCCTTCAGAGAACTCCACAGTGTTTTTCCTGTTAGGAACCAGCAGTGAACTTGCTTCTTTGGCCTTTTACTGTTCTCCACCTGAAGCCGGGATCCAGAAGAAACTAGCCTCAGGTGTGCCTTCTAAGCTCTTCCTCATCTAAACTTCCGCCTCTAGGCATCGCACCGTAGTTTTGGGTGTACTCTTAGGCTCTTCTGAGTTTTTGTCAGTTTTCTTTGATTCATTCGGGCTGGCGTCATCAGTCTTCTCCTCCTTTACCACCTTGGTTTCGATCATTTCCTTCTGCTGACTCTTGTTTGTGAAAGGGAAGGCCTTCACGTACCTGGAAGCATAGACTTAGGTTACAGCAAGAGACTTCATCTAACACACATCACTGCAGAGGACGCTTTGTTCGCAGTGGCACAGACTGGCACAGTCCCCTGGGTACCTTTATTTCAGAATGATGCCAGCACAAGTATGTCCAAATGTATGATCCCTCTCCATTTTAAAGGACTCATTCATATTGGACAATATCCACATGTCCAACTTTAGGTTGGCCTCACAACCCCTTTGTGAAAAACAAGAATCCCAAATCAGGTATAGCCAGTACATTTTTCCTACATGTTCATGTCTCCTTTTTGTTTCTCTATTTTGAAAGGGACACGCACTGATCAATACCTAAAGTCTAGAAGACACATCTGTGCTGAAATGCTATGGTCAAACGGTTAAGAGAGGAGAGGTAAAGGGATGGGAATTTTGAGGTCTAAAAGGGGCATCATTTCCATTTTGACCAAATGCCAATAACAACAATCCTGGAAAAGCACAAGCTAGGGTCACAACAGAAGGGGTAAGGCCAGCAACGTGCCAACGCCTCACCTTTTCACATAGCAAACTGCCAGAACAGCTGCAGCTCCAAAGAAGAGAAGGGCGAGCACGAGCAGGGCCGTGGGAACACCTGGGGGGAGACAGGGACGGTTGGTATTTTGCTTACACATCGTGTATGCTGTACATGGAACAACTCATGTTTACATGTGGCATGGACAGTAGGTAGCACAGAAGAGCCTTCTGTGTGACTATTTTTAATTTTATACATATTTATATATATTTGTGTGTGTGTGTGTGTGTGTGTGTGTGTGTTTAGGTGGGTGGGGAGGTCAGGACAACTCATGGTAGTTGTTTTTCTCCTTCCAGCATGTGAGTCCTGGGGGTATCGAACTCTAGTCATCTGGCTCTGGTGGCAGGTGCCTTTACCCGCTGAGCCATCTCACCAGAACTCTTGTGACTTTTTTTTTTTTCTGTCTTTTTTGAGACAAGGTCTCCCAGTAGCCCCAGCTGGCCTGGAACTCACCATGGAAACCAGGCTAGCCTCAATCTCACAGAGCTCCGTCTGCCTCTGGAGTGCTGGGATTAAAGTGAGCACCACTGTGCCTGACTCTTGTGACTGTTTAGTTTCTGATGTAGGGCCCTTGTTGGTTTCTTTGCTTCTTCCTTACAAACCCTTTGACCTTGTCTCTCATGCTTTTTCTATTCTGTATCATTGCATTGTGAAAAGTAGAATTTGTTTCTTGGGCTTTGAGACCCAATCTAGTCAACAGGTCCACGTGAGAAAGAGGTATTTGAATTAAAGTCATAGACAGTGAAGGTATATATTTTTGTGTCTGTAGTAACAGATAACTTATTTGTTAAAGTCTTGCGTTTTCAATGTTGAAGCTCTGTTACACTCATGAGTTGTGGCTTGATCCTGACATTCTTTACAATGCTCAGATTCTCTGACTATGGAAGCTGAGTTGGTAGTAAGCTTTTATCTGTGCTTGGCAGGTGCTGAGTGCTTGGCCTAGAGACAAGTTGGGTGATACATTCCGTTACACACAGATGCCCATGCACACACACTATAATCTAGAAAGCACTCACCTCCAAACCCAGATGCTTCGTTTGTGAACGCTGCTCCACTTTCAACAGTTGGCGCTGTTTCTGTAGCCACAGAGCTAGTTTCTGTATAAACTTCTGTGACACAGATCCTTTTTGTCTTCCGTGCAAAAGAGGTAGAAGGTGGACCCCGAGTGGTAGGAGGCGCACGTGTCGTAGAGTCAGGGGATGAGACTGAGTAGGAGCTGTCCCAGACAGTAGACTCTGTCCCTGGTGTTTCAGTTTGAATGTCAAACGTTGGATCAAAGGTGGTGATGATTTCCGGAATGCACGAGTTAACCCAGGTATCTGCCAGGACAGGGAAGAAGGAAGGGAGAAATTATACATTGCAGCAAGCTCCACCCTAACTGTTCTCTGTATTCCCACCCACCAGGCCCCTTACACAGCAGTCAGAACACAGGTTTCCCCAAATGCAAATCTAATCTTAGCTTCCTGAGCCTCCGGCAGCATCCACCTCTCCTGGATGACAGATGATGCCCTCCATGATGGCCCTGCTGACATGGTGAGACTCAGACTCATTTCTCTCAATACCCCTTCAATTCCTTGATATATTTTATTTCTCATCTGAGCTTTCTCCACAATGCCTTTTCCATCTTTAAAACCTCTGTGTGCTCTTAGCTAACTCTCCTAATTGTCCTTCAAATGCCAGGTTTACCAGGTCTTGAGCAGAATGGACTAGTCTGGTTCCCTGGACATACATTCTTGTACTTCCTTGAGCGCGGCACAGCTCTCATTATACCGTTCCCCTCTGGATTGTTTGTGAACTGCCTGGAAGCAGGAACCTTGTCTGACTGGTCGCCACGGTATGCTCTCTGTGCCGCACACATAGTACATGCTCGGTGACTATTTGGAGAACCGAAAGGAAAGGAGGGGTAGCTGGAGAAACAATGCATGCACGTGATACCATTTGAGGATAAGATCTGTTAAAATCAAATCTCTCCGTGCGCATAAGAAAAGTGCAAAGGAAGGGAGGGATAAGGGAGGAAGCACATTACTCTCCAGTCTGTTGACCATAGCAGAGAGGAAACTCACGTCTGTTACCATCTTTTCTGGGTCAACCATGGCACCAGATATTTAAGTAGTCACATAACAATTTATCAAGCCTTCATTTACAGTAAGATACTGAAGTTCCCAGAAATCAAGTTCACTTGCTCAGTTACAGTTAATAAATGGCAAAACCAAGCAATATACCACAATATGAATTTCCATCTATTTTAAACCCACGATTATTTATAGCAGTGAATACCAGCCAGAATTTTAGCTTTGAAAAAACTTGTTCCATTAAGTTGATTTCTTTTAAAAATTAAATGAGTTCCAGTGAAGGTCATAGTACTACTGATAAAATGTTTGACCACACACACATTTTACTTTGAAAACGCCCCTATTCTCTTCCCTGAACTTTTAGACTCGCATGTCCCATTCTTGAGTTCATGCTAGGTTCCTCCCTCAGAAAACGAGCGTTTGTGAAGGGAGGGGAAGAAAACACAGTGAGTTCAACAGACTGTGTTGGATTCTAAAATACATAGACATAAGGTACAGTTCCTGTTTCCAGGACAGAGGAATGTGAGAGGAGTATGGCAGACTGATGTACTCATTCATCAGATACCAACGGAGCATCCCCTGTGACGGGTGCTTCTCTGGAAGCTGGGAGTCTGATATAAATGAGAGAAAGGCCCCGTTTTAAAGCCATGGGAAGGATAGAGATAATAAAAGCTGAATAAACCATGAACTTCAGAAGATAGTAAATAGTGAAAAGGAAATTAAATAGATAGGAATCAAATTGGTAAGGGTAGAAGATAAGGCTAGATACTGGGGTTGGGGTGCTAAGAGGTCTCCTGGGAAGGCAAGACTTAAGTGGTGAAAAGTAGCCAGTCCTTGAAAATCTAGGGCAAAGGCACTCAAAGAACAAAAAGCACAAGAGCGAGAAGTTGAATGACTGAGTCCACTGGACGAACAAGACGCCTGTGTGGCTGAAACAGAGTCAAACTCATCTGGTGTGGGGAGGGAACAGGATACCCAGTCAACAGGAGGCGCGTGATCCGAGAATCCAGAAGTGGGAAAGCAGTCATGTCGGGAAAATTTGAGTGTGTGTGCATGTGTGTGCGTGCATGTGTGTGTGCGCATGAGTGTGCGGGTATGTGTGCGTGTGTGTGCATGCGTGTGCGTGCATGTGTGTGTGTGTACACGTGTGTGCCTGAGAGAGAGAAAGAGAGAGAGAGAGAGAGAGAGAGAGAGAGAGAGAATATGAAAGTCTACAAGCAGGAGATAAGGCCAAGAAGACAAATCCAGGAGACTGAGATTCCTAATTTCCATATTAAAGTGTGGAATTTATTCTGTAGGAGAGAGAATTTTCAACGAGGTCTACAACCTTTTAAATTATATTCAAAGGTTTTCATATATGTCTACCTTTATGTGCAAAACAGCTTGTCCGTTACGCAATATTCTTAAATGGGAAGTTTCCCAAAACTATAGGACAAGCAAAAAAGTAACAATTACCAGTGGAGGTGTGTGTGTTGGGGGCAGGGTGAGACACAGAGGAGAAAGGACAATCCATGAGCAAAGAATGAAGTCCTTGCAAATTGCACAGAAATAGAAGAATCTAGAAATGTCTGGATCCCAAAACTTAAAAAGCTTAAGAACAGCCTAAAAGTTCATCAATAGAACACAGTTGAATAACTATGATACAGCCACCCCCTGGGGTACATTAAGAATGCAGCCACTGGGGCTGGAGAGATGGCTCAGTGGTTAAGAACACTGGTTGTTCTTACAGAAGACCCGGGTTTGAATCCCAGCACCCACATGGCAGCTAACAACTGTCTGTAACTCCAGTCCCAGGGGACCTGACAGCCCCTTCTGACCTCCACGGGCATTGCACGACATGGGTGCACTTACCTACATACAGGCAATACACGCATACACATAAAATAAAAATAATAAACAAAATTAAAAAGTTAAAAATGTAGCCTTTAATCAGGTGTGGCGGTGCATGCTTTTAGTCCCAGGACTCAGGAGGCAGAGGCAGGTGGATCTCTCTGAGATGGAAGCCAGCCTAAGTCTACATAGTGAGTTCCAGGCCAGATGGGGCTACAGGAGACTTGACTTAAAAAATAAGAGCAAAACAAAAATATAGCCATTAAAAGCATCTCTATGAATGAATACAGAGTAATCTAGGCTTTAAATGGAAAAAAGCTCTGCACAGAGCAGAGTATGGCATTCTAGCTTCTTCTTCCACCTCCCCATCTCCTTCCCCTCCTCCTCCTTGTCCTCCTCCTTCCTCCTCCTCCTTCCCCTCCTCCTTCTCCTCTCCCTCCTCCTCTTCCTCCTCTTCCTCCTCCTCCTTTTATAAGAAAGGGAAGCAGTACCATACACACCTTCCTTTATTCACAAAACAACAGAGGCATAAACCAAAAAGAATACGAATGGAAAGACTAGGAGAAAGTCCTCTTTGACTGTAATTTTTTAAAGTATATTTTGGACCACTGAAGCATGTTAATCTTTTATCTACTTGAGAAAGTTAAAACAGAGCAGGGTATGGTGGTGCATACCTTTAATCCCAGCACTGAGGAGACAGAAGCAGGTGGCTCTCTGTGAGTTCAAGGCCAGCCTGGTCTACATAGCAAGTTCCAGGACAGCTGGGGCTACAGGGAGACCCTTGTCTCAAAAAACAAAAAAATAAAAGTTAAAACAGGATAAAGCACAAGCCCTAAAACTGACACCAACAAAAGTAAATATATCTCTTTAATTTCAAAATGAGATTATAATCATATGGGGTCATGTTTGCATAAAGTCTCCTGATCATGCATCCTCACAGGGTGGTCTTCTAGAAGAATCTTCAGTTTCACTCAGTATATTTGTTTCCTAATGATATTGGTTTTGCTATTTTGAAATTGTTATAGCACAAGAAAATACATTATTTTCTAAGAACTTAGCTTCTCTATGTAGAGAAATAAATGCAAATATAAAGGAAAGTAAGAAAAAATTGAATCATTAAATTTGAATTGGAAACATGAACATAGACTCATAGTTCTCTCTCTCTCTCTCTCTCTCTCTCTCTCTCTCTCTCGTTCCTTGCTGAGACTCAATGAAAACTTCACTACTCATGAAAAGAGCTTGCATGCAGCTCTTTGTTTCTAGTGGATATTTTGCATTCAAAAGAACCAGAGGTCCTTGGAGAAGTAAGATGTTATCTCTCTACCTGGGACAGAGAAAGTACAAAGTCGGCCTGGACATGCTGTACTGCCAGGAAACAAGGAATTACTCAAAAAGTGACAGGATCCAAGACCCAGCAGTCAGCTAGAAGGACTCTCGCTTGCCAGATTGGGGCCATGCAAAAAGGAAAATAAGACGTGTAAAACGGACTATAATATGCTTTACACACTGAATAAATAAAATGTCATGTGTCTATAGTAGTATAAGATGGAGGAAAAATATGAGAGAGAGAGAGAGAGAGAGAATATGTTTTTGGTCAGAGATGCTAGCTAATAAATGGAGAAAGGGGGACTGAAGAGATGGCTCGGCAGTCAAGAGCACTGGCTGTTCTTGCAAAGGACAGGGTTTGATTCCCAGCACCCACATGGTGGCTAACAACCATCCATAACTCCAGTTCCAGGGGATTTGACACCTTTTTCTGACCTCCGCAGGCAATGTACAACATGGGTGCACTTACATACGTGCAGGCATAAAATAAAAATAATAAATATAAAAATCATTAATAACCTGAAAAAGTCTTCATAGTGTTCTTTATAGCTAGATAATTTTATGTAATTGATGTCTCGTTATGTCTCCTTTAACAGAAAGTCAGCACCACAGTGACAGGATAAGGCTATTTGCATGGTGCCAAACCATCATATGATAGATTATCTACTAATTCAAAGGAAAAAACATATTTTTTCACTATATCAGCAGTATGTTAGTCACCACTTTAATTAAATAATCAAAGAGAATACTCAGTATGGGCTATATCCACATTAAATGCTGTTTGTTGTAATGTGATCCAAAGTATACAGTAGTACCTGCAAAATACTTCTGCCTGGCCATCTTCTTGACCCTTTAGGATGCAGGAAATACAGGGGATGAGAACACAAGTTAAATGAAAGCCTGGGGAAAGAGACACATCCAAGTCCTCTTTCTCCTTTTTGTTCAGTCCAGAAGGATGGGTGCCATAGCATCCTGTTGACAGCAGGGAGGAAGGCTAGGCAATTAAAAGGCACTCCAACAGACAGGCATGGGCTGGTAATGAGATAAGTAGGCACAAGAATCACCAGTTCCCCAGATAAACCTGACAGGCTGGAGAGACAGAGAAGAGAAAGATGAAGGCATATCATTATATTGGAAGAAGAGTCAACTAGCAGTTGTGACTTTGCCACCATGTGGCTGTAGGATTTGTAGCAGCTGACCCCCCATTCTGAACTATAGCCATTTAACCTGTAAAGGGTGGAAACTGGACAGGTGTCTCTGAGGACCTTTCCTATACCAAAGTCCTCTGGTTCAGAGAACTGCTTAGAAGTCCTAGATTAGTTTTCTCTAGTTTTGGTTGGTGAATGTTTATCTCTTGGATCTTACAGAATGATTTTGAAATCTTTCATAGATACATACACACACACATACACACACACACACACACACGACCACTTACTACTTAATTTTTCTTGTCTTTTTTAGATAGGGTCTCCCTGTAGCCCCAGCTGGCCTGGAACTCACTATGTAGACCTGACTGTCCTTGAATTCACAGAGATCTGCCTGCCTCTGCCTCCCAAGTACTGGGATTAAAGGCATGTGCCACCACGCCCAGCTTTTACTACCTAATCTTAAGAAGATTGGACATATATATTTGTGAGAAGTAAATAAGACATTCTTATGACAAAGAGAACAGCTAAGTACTTAGTTAAAGAAAAACTTCTTGAGAAATGACAGGAAAACCATTTAGATGAGGGCAACCAAACTCTGCAGGCAAGAATTGATGAGATAACTAAACCCCAAGTGAATCTGTTATGTTCTCTGGATTGTAATTTCTTCCTTCATAAAAAGGGAGATTGGGCTTTGCTCTTAAAAATGTCATATGCAGCATCTGACTTATGTAGAGCAGTGGAAAGAACACGGTGTCAGAGTTAGACCCAAGTTTGAGCCTTTGTAATAATGCAAATATATTTTGAATGTGGCTTGAGCATATCCCCAGAGAAGCCAGTGTGGCAATGTTATAAAGTGGTGTTTTAGAAGTGGAGCCTAGCAGGAGGTCATTAAGAATACAGCCTTCTGAAGGAATCAATGAATTATCCCCAGACCCTGGTTGGCTCTGGGGAGTAGGCTGCTGTCCTAAATCATTCTCTAGCTTTCAGTCTCATCATGTGATCTCTCTCTCTCTCTCTCTCTCTCTCTCTCTCTCTCTCTCTCCCTCCCTCCCTCCCTCTCAATTCCTGCCTTGTGATGACATGAAGCCCTCCCCAGAGTCAAGCTGTTGTTGTACCACGACCTTGACACTTTTCCTTTATCAACTCAGCTGCAGATATTTATTGTAGTGGAAAATGGGCCAATAGAGAGACAACAGACAAGTGGACAGAAGTCCCCTGAGCTAAATTTCCTTGTCTGAAGACTGGGGATAAGGCGTCCTCACAGGGAAGTTCAAGGTTTCATGAGATAACTAACCTCTCCACTGCTTCCTCCACAGTGGACATTTGTCTCCCTCCCTCTTCCTTGTTTGTCTTATAGGAAGCTGGGGCAGCAGAGGTTGTAACTGAGCCTCCTGGGACATCCTCCCCTAAAGTCAACATTCAGTCATATTTTCCCTAACATTTTCCTCTGAGGGTACATTGCTCCCTCCGGCCTGGTCTTGGGATAATGAGATGACCTGTTGGTTTTGTTACTTCTGCTGTTGCACATAGTTATTCATCCCAGACAGATCCCAGAACTTAAGGTGCCCAGAGACGGCATGCCACTTGGAGTGGCTATGGGTTGAACTCACCAGATGAATTGTGACAGTAGACTCGGAACTTTTGGCTGGGTGGAACTTTCCAAATCAGGACGCCTTTCCCATTCCTCCCACACTTGGGATTTGAGGAATTCCGGGGGATGACAGAAATTTGTTCTTCAACCCATCCGTAGCTGTAAAATAATACATATTGGGCAAATGTTAGATGGGACCATATTGGGGCTGGAGAGATGGCTCAGCAGTTAAGAGCACTGACTGCTCTTATAGAGGACCCAGGTTCAGTTCCTAGCACCCACGTGGCGGCTGACAACCACCTGTAACAGGGAAATCTGATGCCTTCTTCTGACCTCTGTGGGCACTGAACGACAATGGGTGCACTTAAATACATGCAGACATTATACTCATACACATTGGGCAAATGTTAGATGGGACTACATCAGGGCTGGAAAGATGGCTCAGCAGTTACAAGCACTGACTGCTCTCACAGAGGACCTAGGTTCAATTCCCAGCACCCACATGGCGGCTAACAACTATCCATAACTCCAGTTCCAAGGGAATCCGATGCCTTCTTCTGACCTCCGAAGGCATTGCACAACACGGGTACATTTACACACATGCAGGCATTGCACTCATACACTTATAAAATAATAAATAAAACACTTAAAAAAAAAAAAAAAGAAGGGACCATATCTACTGCTGGAAAAGTGCAGGGAACGGAGGAGCTCTGAGGCTTTAAGGAAGTAGCTGTTTCTTACCTACAAGTCTCATAGCCCATCTTCTGTGCCACTTCTACCTGGTCTTTGCTGGCCAGAGTCAGTCCCAGCAGCTTACAGGCCTTCTGGGCTTCCGTGAAATTCATCAGTTCTACCTTTCTGTTCACAAGGATGACCCCCATAATTCTGCATTGTGTCGAAGTGGAAAGCTCTGGAGAGAAACAACAAAGTCCTCAGTTTTCTGCTGGCTTCATTCCTGGGTGGGAGGCTCCCTCCTTCCTTGCAGAGAATCGTTGTCTTGATGTGGACGCTGGGTCTGTGTGGCTGGGGTTGAATTTAGAAATAACAGAACACAGACCAGGAATATCCCACAAGGACAGCCTGCTGGATTGGACAGAAACTTGCTCTGACTGTCCCGGACTATAAATCTCAACATATCAGAGCCCATCTGCTCCCTCTGCACTAAATAATCTGTCATACAGATGAGGACTTTAGCTATGAGTTCCTAGGATGGGGTCTAGGTGATACAGTTGCTGCAAACCTTTTTTTTTTTTTTTTTTGTCTATAAAAGGAAGCATCTGAGACTTTGAGAAAGATTGAATTCAGGGCTCTGGTTAGCAGAATAATTACTAGCAATACTCCAAAATAATGTGTTTAGGGACACCACTGTTTCCGAGACTGAAAATGAGCACATTAGCACAGAATGTCCAGGTCCTTTCTGGCCACTGGGGGGCAGCCTTGCTCAGAAGTTCCTGGAGGAAATGAGCAGGAAATCTTGCCTGGTAGAGAAACTAAAGGAAGTAGAGTTTTAGAGCTAGACCTGGGTTTGGCTCTAGTTATGTTGTTTGCTAGCTCTGCCATCTTAGGCTAGTTACTTTACCTCTTTAAGACTCTGTTTCCTTATTTGTAATAGAGAGAACAACATTATTTACCACATAGGGTAGTAGGAGTTACGTGAACAAATTTTAATAATGCTTAGCATAGCGCCTGCCACATTCTAGGTACTGATATAATCATAAATAATACAGCATTATTTGGTTTTCTTCAGTATATTCTGGTTTTATCCACTAATGATTGATCTTTCTGGGAAAGCTGAGGCATGGAGCTGTTATAATATTTTTACTCAAAATCTGGTGGATTTTGGAACTCTTTTCACCCCATTTCCCTGAGATTTACAGACCTGTATGAACATACCATGCTACGTTTATTCAACTAACTTATTCCTGTTGGGCTTCATCTATGAACGTCCATGGAAAGGCATTTCAGTTTCTCAAGTAATGACTGCAAGGCTCTGGCAGGCGTGTCCAGCTTTCAGCCCATGTACCACACGTTCTCCAGGGTAGTTATGAACATGGCCCAACACAAATGTGTGAACTTATGAAAACATGAGATTGTCTCATGATTTATGTTGCAACTCAACTGCGTTCTCAAGTGTGAGCTTTGTAGATATGTCACAATGTGAAAAGATTGGATGTGCTTGGTAGACGATGCCCAAACTCCTTGATCACTGTCTAGGTTGGTTTTTAAAGGAACTTTCTTCTTGCAAACAGGGAAGAAGCATTTTTAAGTGCTTTGTGTGTCTTGTGTTCTGAACCAGTGATTAGAGGCAGGGATGTGTATCTGATGTTTAATGTTTGTGGGCAGCCGTGTTTGCCTCCAGACCCCACTCTTACCAAGAGAGACAAGAAAATCAACATTCCAATAGAAACATTGGTAACTGGGGTGACAAAGCAACTTCATACACTGTTTATACTAAAATTATACCTGTATTTAGTAGCAACCACCTGCAAGACATTGTACTGATACTAACATTAACACTAACACCAATAGTACCACCAACATCTGTCTTCTGTTAATGTACTCTTTGTGAAAGCCTGTAGCTTTTAAGAGAAAAATTGAGATTTAGGAAGATTAAGGTACCTTCGAAATCCAAACTCATAGAGCAACTAGGTGGCAGATTGGGGGCACAAACCTATTTTTGCCTAGCTCTAAAACCTCAGTTCTTACCTATAACAGTATTCTGCTTTCCACCAGGATATGGGGAGACAGACAAATAGACAGACAAACATATACACACACATCATTCACTTGTCCTGAAATTTGGCTCCTTAAGTTCAAAACCTTACTATTGCTCAGAGCTCTATGGTTGTGTCTTTGGAAATCTGAAGAAAGAGTTTATTTATTATGTTATGAAGTGGTATTATTGCTCTCTTATTATACCTAATGTTAATAGTAAATACTCTTTAGAGCCGGACATGCCGGGCTATAATCTCAGTTACTTGGGAGGCTGGGGCAGGGGGACTGCAAATTCAAAGCCAGCCCGGGCAATTTCTCTCTCTCTCTCTCTCTCTCTCTCTCTCTCTCTCTCTCTCTCCAGTTGGGCTTTACTTATGAAAGTCCATGAAAGGGCATTTCAATTTCCTAAGTAATGCATGTGTGCATGTGTGTATGTACATATATGTGTATATGTGTGTGTGTGTCAATTTCCTAAGTAATGCATGTGTGCATGTGTGTATGTACATATATGTGTATATGTGTGTGCCTCTGTGTGTGTGTGTGTGTGTGTGTGTGTGTGAGTGATAGCCTTTTTGTGGAGACAGGTTCTCCCTGTAGCTGCAGCTGCTGGCCTAGAACTCGCTATGTAGACCGGACTGGCCTCAATCTCACAGAGATCCATCTGTCACTGCCTCCTGATTGTTGGTATCAAAGGTGTGTACCACCATGGCCAGTAGCTCTCTTTTGAATGGACAGACCTATCATTAGATATTTCTAGTACTATCAATTGGCTGTTGAGACCTTGGGCAAGTCAGTGTTGTCATCTGTAAAATGAGAATACTATATCTTGCCAAGATTTGTATTTGGAATTAAATTACATAACTTGTATCTAGCAAAACTTGTATCCAGAGGAGATGGTAAAAATATGAACTTCATGCTTTCCAATTTCATGTCGAGATTTAAAAAATAGGGAGTGAATACAAAAGTGTACTTCAGTAAGTCCTTCATTAAGATGCCTTAGAAAACATCAAGTACCGTAGGAACAGTATGCCCTTGGGAATCAGATAAGGCTGGATTCAATGCCAAGTTTTAGTATTTACCACCTGCATGACATTGGGCAACCTTGGCTCATCTAGGAAATGTTTTCTTGAGAGAGGAATAAAAGTAAACAAAGCTCTACATGCATACTTAACTCTGAATCTCTATGTAATAAGCCCTCAAAAAAGGTCCTTTCTGTATCCACCCATTTCATCACCATTGAGTCCAACCAGGTGATGCCAACTTTCTGCTTTTTCCAAGCATTTAATGTCCTTAGAAAAAAATGCCATTATTGAGGACGAAGCAAAGAAGGTGGTAGTCATTATCAAAGAATGATTTTTTTTAAAGAATGATTTCTAAAAGCTGGGGATGTGGCTCAGTTGGTAGAGTGCTTGCCTAGCATACTCAAAGCCCTGGGTTCAATCCCCAGCACTGCATAAAATTGGGGATCATAAAATTCAGAAGGTGGAGGTTAGGGAATCAGAATTCAAGGTCATTCTTGGTTACCTAGTGAATTTGGGGCCAGCCTATACTAATACTATCAGAGACCCTGTATGGAAAAAAAAAAAAAAAAAAAAAAAAAAAAAAAAACAACAGGCAACCATTTGGGAAAAAAAAAAAAAAGGGAAACATGAAGTCTCCTCCCAGGGCACCATGAAGAGGACCAAGCTTATTTAAAAGTAATGGTTCTAGTATTTAGGAGAAAAAAAATCCTAATCATTTAACTCTATAAAATTAAAGTTACTTAATATAAAAATAAACTCTGCATGTCTGTTCTTGACATAGTTTGTATCTCAGGACACCTTCCAGCACAAGAGCAATTTTTCTTTAATAACAGTGCTCAGATTTTCATTCGCCCAGAGCTGTAATAAGTGACCTGTGGTTTCAATTTCTGCAGAATGAGGTCTCCATGCATGCATCCTACAAGCCCAGAAGCCTCCAGAGTCTTCCTTTGGTAAGCCACAGATGGCAAAATTTCAAATCTGCATCTTCACAAACTTTTTTTTTTTTAGTTAATTTCCTGCATACTAAATTTACTGCAAATTAAAATATTGCATTCCACAACTGGTAAATAACTTTGAAATTAAAACATTATACAAACACTTCTAAAATATAAAATGGGCCAATATTTAGTAAGAGTTATTCATTTTTTCCCCCAGGCTTAGTGATAGCCGTATAATTTTCACATTCCTAGTCTGCTTTTTGAATGAAATACTTTAAAAAAACATGAATCATTTCTCATTTTATTTCAAATTATTAGTATTAAAAAGTTTCTATAACCCCAAATAAAATTCCAAGTGATGTAAAGGTAAAATATAAGTCATTCTGGTGAAGTTGACAATATGGTAAAAACATTTCTGCTGAGCAATATGACCCATTCACTCTTCCATTGGCAGTAAGAGTTGCCCCCATTCCTAACAGCCCATAGTTGAGTGGGCTTAAGACTTGGTCTTGCCTCAGTTCAGAAACCTGGTGAGACACCTACCTTGTACATGGACAGTGCCTTGGACCAGGAGACTAGTGGTCCAGATACAGGCCAGAAGCAATGCCAGGCTGAAGTGCTTGGCCATCGTGCAGACCTCTTGGAACCTGGCAAACACTGAAGATGGGCCACTGTCAGTAAGGAAGACAGAGAGATGCTCAGTCACCAGGCAGGATGGAGCGTTCTGGAACTAGGTTGAGGATTTCCCTGCTTTCAAGTTTCTGACTTGTCAGAGCCACTAGAGGAAATGAGTGACATCCCTTGAACGCCCAGACTGCAGCACTTTGTGGATAGCTTTCTGGAAAATTTAGCTAATGCTGACTCAGAAAACACATATGAGGAAGGCAGATAGCACAGTGTGAGCTGCTGAAGGTCTTCCTGAGCCCCTGATTCCCTGCCTCTCACCCTCCCATGTGGACTCAGTTCCCATACCATTCATTATGATGGCTTGTGAAGCCCATTCATTCGTCTACTCCAGGGACTGTCTCTGTCTCTGGAGAGATTGAGAATGAATTGTGTTTCTTTCCCCCCTACAATCGGTGATAATTTTTCCTTCTTGGCTGCACTGCCTTGTAACATATGGAGAAATGATGGAGAGGCTTGTAAAAGTAAACGTCCCCTTAAATATCATGCCTTCGGGGGGGGGGAACTTTTTTCACACATTGGACATATATCTTGACACTGCAGTAGGGATTTCTTTTTCAATAAACAAAAACAAAAACAAAAAAAACCCAGGCACAAAAATTCTTATTTAAAGCACTTGCTGCTCTTCCAGAGGACCTGATTAAGGTTCCCAGCATCTACATCGGGTGGCTCATAACCTCCTGTATCTCCAGCTCCAGGGCATCTGACACCCTCTTCTGGCCTCCACAGGCATTACAAGCATGGGTGCACTTACATACATGCAGACAAAACATTCATATACATAAAATAATAAAGAAAAATAATTTTTTTTGGTCTTTTTGAGACAGGGTCTCCCTGTAGCCTTAGCTGGCCTGGATTTGCTATGGAGACCAGGCTGGCCTCGAACTCACAGAGATTGGCCTGCCTCTGCCTCCCAAGTGCTGAAACTACAGGCATGCACCACCATACCCAGTGCCAAGAATCCCTGTGGTGATAACTGTTAGACAAATCAAAATTAATTTTGTAAAGTGTAAAATGTCTAATCTTGCTGGGCATGGTGGCACACGCCTTTAATCCCAGCACTTGGGAAGCAGAGGGAGGCTGTGAGTTCAAGGCCAGCCTGGTCTACATAGTGAGTTCCAGGAACTCACTGGAACAGGAATTATAGACAATTGCTAGCCATCAAGTGAGTACTGGGAATGGAACCTGACTCCTCTGCAAGAGTGGTCAGTGCTCTTAACCACTGAGCCTGCTCCCGAACCTTACAATAATGATTTTTTTGTGTCATATTTTCCTTACTAACTGTTATATTCTGATAGACCAAAATTCAGCTTAGACCCCACCTTCCTCATTTGAGGGATATTCACAGTCTTCAAGTGGAGTACACTTGGTGTTTCCAAGCAGGATTTTTGGTGGTTTGTCTTCCTCAATAATTATGGAGCTCTTGCTTGTGAGTAACACCTTGAGCAATGGTTGATGAGTTTTCTTCAAGTGTCTTTTATAGGAATTGTGATATTTATTAAGATTTATTTTAATTATTTTTTAAATTATGTGTGTGTGCATGCACATATATCTGTGGATATGTGCACATGAGTGCAGGTACCTGCAGAGGTCAGAAGAGGGGATTGGGTTACCCCTGAAGCTAGAATTACAGGTGGTTATGAGACACCTGACATGGATGCTGGGAACTGAACTCAGGTCCTCTGCAAGAGAAGCATGTACTCTTTACTGAGCCATCTCTCCAACCCCAGGGTTGCCTGCTTAATTTAACACATACAATTATATAGGTAACATTCTTTCCTACATAACTGATACTGGTCATAAAGTTAGATGTCTACAGAAAAACCAGTAATAAAAAGAGAATGTGTTTTTGCCCAAACACAGGCATCTTCTAAGGGGCCAGAGAGACAGATCTTGAATCATCACCAATGAACTAATTACACACCCCAAAAGTGTACATGACATCATAGTACCAGAAAGAGAGGCAGAAATCATGTCCTTTCATACCTGTGCTTAATGCTTAGCATCATGACTGAAGAAAATCATCACATGTAGAAAGGATGACAGGAAGGGAAAAGTTAATTATAGAAGCAAAATGTGAAGAATAGCATACGAGAAATGAGAAAACACTGGATTTTGGAAACAAGTGGACAGAGGAGTAATTATTGGATATAATGGGATCTGAATTATTGTTCTGGTGCTTAAAAATGAAATCCAGGGGCTGGAGAGATGGCTTAGCAGTTAAGAGCACTGACTGCTCTTGCAGAGGAGTCAGGTTCCATTCCCAGCACCCACATGGCAGCTACGAACCATCCTTAACTCTAGTTCCAGGGGAATTCGAAACCCTCTTCTGATCTCCGTGGCATTGCATGACACAGGTGCATTCACATACATGCAGGCAATACACTCATACACATAAAATAAAAATAATAAATATTTTTAAAAAATGAAATCCAAAGTAAGGAAACAATTTGTATATGTCCCCATTGAGAGAAGTTAACTCACCATTGGAATGTGATTGGAAAAAATAATCTTTTTTTCTTTCAAGACAGGGTTTTCCCATACGGTCTAAGCTGATTGGGAACTTTTTTTTTTTTTAATGGCAATTTGGAGGGCTAGAGAGATGACCCAGTGGGTAAGAGCACTGGCTGATTTGCAAAAGACCTGGGTTTGATTCCCAGCACCCACATGGTGGCTAACATCTGTAACTCCAGTTCCAGAGGCTCCAACACCCTCTTCTTATCTCCAAGAGCACTGTGCACCATGGATGCACTTACACACATGCAGGCAATATACTCATACACATAAAACAAAAATAAATAAAAAATATTTTTAAATTAGCAATTTTATACATATATCATATATTTTGATCGTATCTACCCATTACTCTCTCTTATTTCCCTCCCACTCTCTCTGAACCCCTTCCTCTTCCCAATAAGTCCCCCTCCAACTTCGTTCTCTTTTTTATAATTCACTGCATTTAATTAGGATTGCTTACATGTGCATGGATGTGGGGCTATTTACTGTAGCATGGAAAGCATACCAGTGGCTATGACACTGCAGAATCCTCCCCCAGCAGCCATTAACTGCCAATAGATCCTCACAAGCCCTTTCCCCATCTGTAATGGAATGCTGATGGTCTCAATCTTGTGCAGGTGACCACAGCTGCTGTGAGTTCATGAGTGCAATGGCCCTGTCACATTTGGAAGACATCATTAAGCACTCCTCCCCATCTTCTAGCTCTTACCTTCTTTCTGCCCCTTCTGCTGTGTTCCGAGTCTTAGGCTGGGGAAGATGATATAAATATCCCACTTAGAGCTGAGCACTCAATAATCACTTATTCTCAGCCCTTTGATCAGTTAAGAGTCTCTGTATTGGGGCTGGAGAGATGGCTCAGCGGTTAAGAGCACTGGTCCTTTTGCAGAGGACCCAGGTTCAATTTCCAGCACCCATATGGCAGCTAACAACCATCCTTAACACCAGTTCTAGGGGAATCCGATGCCCTCTTCTGACCTCCATGGGCATTGCATGACACGGATGCATGCAGGCAATACACACACACACACACACACACACACACACACACACATGCACACACCACAAAATGTTTTAAAAGTGTCTCTGTATTAACCATTGACCCCTGACAAAGAGGCTTCTCTCACCAAGACTAGCTACTGGAAATTCTTAATTGGAACTCATCATCTCTCTTGTAAAGTTAGAATGTATTCAGTGTCAGATTCTAAGCCTCTTGCCATGATAAGCTTTGTTGTTGAGTTTTTCTAGTTTTTTTTTCTGTTGCTGTAATAAAACACTCTGAGCAAAACCAACTTGGGGAGGAAAGGGTTTATGTCATCTCACCCTTCCCGGTCACAGTCCATCATTGAAGAAAGTCAGGGCAGGAACCTGGAGGCAGGAACCAAAGCAGAAATCATGGAAGAACGCTACTTACTGGCTTGCTCCCAGACCCTCCTTTCTTATATAGCCCAGGCCCACCTGCCTAGGGATGGTACCTATGCCTCATGAGCTTGGCCCTCCTACATCAATTAGCGATCAAGAAAATGCCCCACAGACAAGCCAATCTGATGGAGGACATTCTTCAGTTGAGGGTCCCTCTTCCCAAGTGTGTCAAGTTGATAAATAAGATTAGCTATCACAAGAGCTACAAGCTAATGTTATAAAGAAAATCCTGCTGGAGACTCTCTTTACCATTTTGAGAAAGAGTATTCAGGATGAGGAGAAGCAACCATCATTGATGTCCACTGCTAAATAACAGTTTATGCTGTTACCCAAAAGAACCAGTAATTAGAGAAACTTGTACAATTAGGAACTTGTAAAAATTAAGTGAATAGATGAACCATTAAGTTTCAAAGGACAGCAGCAAATATGGATATCAAAAGCAAGAGCAGAAGTTCATAGGTCACCAGACCGCTAAGTACCACAGCTTGGACATAGGGAGAAGACCGAGCTTACCTCAGAGATCATGGACTTTGATCTGGATAAGATTTTTAGTTGCCTGTTAAAGTCAACATACGCAATTACAAGTTTAAATAGAGTGGGAGTTTTAAAATGTGGCTTGAAGGAAGGAAATACAGTACAATCCAGAGTACCGGACAGAAGGCGATGTACAAGTACAAATTCCAGTTTAAATTTTAATGGTGATAATCTGTGTATCAGACCAGGCGTGGTAGCACATGCCTTTCATCCTAGCACTCGGGAGAATCTCTTTAAGTTTGAAGCCAGCTTGGACCAAATAGGAAGCTCTAGGCCAGCCAGGGCTACATAGTGAGACCTTGTCTCAAATCCCACTCCACCATAAAAAAAAATCTGTGTGTCCTTGAGCATGTCTTTTTCAAACATTTATTTATTATTTTTATTTTATGTGTAGAAGTGTATTGCCTGCATCTGTATAAATGCACCTGTGCCATGCAGTACCCTCAGAGGTCAGAAGAAGGCATTGGATGCCCTGGAACTGGAGTTATGAATGGTTGTTAGCTGTCATGTGGGTGCT